ATTAAAAATAGTAATTTTTTAATAAATATATTATATAATGTATTGAACTAAAATATATATCAATCAATATCCAGTAAAAAAAGTCACAAACATTCTAGGGTACAAAATGTGAAATAAATTAAGATGTAAGGACGTTCGCTTTGCGTATAATCAAGGGCATGCCTGCTTGGTATGTATTTTAGGAGACAAAGTTTTATAGAATATTTTTTCAAGCGAAACACTTTAATTCCCCATCCGTAAACCAAACGCCTCACCATGGTCAGTCTTCTAAAAAAAGACAAAGTTAGTCTTCTTCCAGCGTCTTCAGTGGGTTTCAGTAACTTTAATGTGAACCAACCTTGGTGGCCCATACAGTTCATGAGCCAAGTTTGAAATATAGTGCCCTATTGGACAATGAGCGCTGAGTAGTGCTGTCAACTATAAACGTTGGCTCACTTTTTTTTGTCATTCTCTTTATGATTGGTCACTTGTAATATGACAATGGAATGGCATATTGCTTATGTCCAATATATGTGATTGGTGATTGATAGTAAAAATTATAGTTGATATATTTATTAAAATTTAAAATTATTACTGATCACATAAATATTGAAGGATAAGTGGTTTAATTATAGATAATTCAGAAAATAGGACTACATTTAAGAAATTAATAAGTTGAAGGCCTTCCATTGAAAAAACAAGTTGAGGGCCTAAGCGCAACTAGGAAGAAAGAAATGGAACGGGAATGTCAAGAAGTTTTCTACGCAAAACGGGCTTAAAATGCAGTGGCCCAATATATTGAACCCATCTCAGAGGCCCATATCCACTCTGTTCAAACCTATAACTTATGAATTGTAAGGACTCAAATTTTACCACCAAGCCAAGAGCGTCACTGGCTAAAGTTGATATATATGAAATTATTACTAATCACATGAATCATTACTTTCCTTAAAGGTGGGCTAGCGGAGCCTTTAATTTTATCCACTTGCAAAATCACGTGCAGAATCCCCTCTTTAATATTTCTTTGAAGTCAGTATGTATTGTGAATACTTGTTCCCTGTTAGAATCAATTTGTTGCGTTCTATATATTTTTACTACTCAGTTTCATGCTTAATCAGTATTAAATATCTAGAAACAAGGATAAATTCTCTTATGTCATGGATTGATATTTAATCTTTGGTAGAACATGATTTTAGTTTAGTAGCTTCTACCGTGTGAAATGAGTTGGAATGGCTTGCTTATTTAATAAAATTTAGGGAATTATTTTTGTAACATTTTTGTTGCCAGGATAAAGACATCTATCACTGCCCAGCAATTGGTCTTCTGAATCCATTTTCAATTATTTTTGTAATTTTTTTTTCTTTTAAAGTGGCAGTTATTAGTACTTATTTTCTTTGTTAGAAAAAAACACATCTAGAAAAACTAGTTCTAAGCCACATTTAAAAAAAATCAGCATCAACATGATTGAAGCTGGAAGGATCCTCTATAGTCCATTTTTTGGTCGAGTTGATTTTGATGGTGCTGACCAGTTTTTCATCACGGCTATTAACATAATTTTGAACACCAGTATATTAAAACAAGACCAGTACATCAACTTTTCAACATCGTTCTTAAAATATAGAGACTTTTGAAACAACTGGGGAGAAAAAGGCATTAATCTAATAACAGGGTCTCCATCATGAATATGAAACAAATCAATTCAGAAGAAAATTGAAACCCACCCCATTTCTACCTGGCGCTAAAATACAATCGACAGAAGGAAGACTCGATACCGATAGAGCGAGAATCAAGCCGAAATGTATAAACCACCACACCTCATTTCATTAAATTTCAAAATCATTTCCCCAATGTTCCAACGTCAATCACCCAACCACCATAGACTACATCCTCAATACGGTGCACACCTTAAACGCACAAAAATATAGTCACAAAATTTTCATCAATTTTTAAATATATACTCACCAAGGCTAGTCTTCTGAATTGTTTTTAATGGATTACAATATGTATTTTATTTCTAAAGTGGCAATATTAGTAGTTTTTTTTCTTAGAAAAAAACGCATCTAGAAAAACTAGTTCTAAGCCACATTTAAAAAAAATCAGCATCAACATGATTGAAGCTGGAAGGATCCCCTATAGTCCATTTTATGTTTGAGTTGATTTTCAGGTGCTGACCAGTTTTTCATCACGACTATATGTTAACATTACTTTGATCACCAATATCTTAAAACAAGACGAGAGCATCAACTTTTCAACACGGTTTTAAAATATAGAGACTTTTGAAACAACTGGGAAGAAAAAGGCATTAATCTAATGACAAGGTCTCCATCATGAATATGAAACAAATCAATTTAGAAGAAAATTGAAACCCACCTCATTTTTACCTGGCGCTAAAATACACTCAACAGCAGGAAGAATCAATACCGACAAAGCGAGAATCAACCCGAAATTAATGTATAAACCACCACACCTCATTTCATTAAATTTCAAAATCATTTCCCCAACTTCCAATCACCCAACCATCACAGAATACAACCTCAATGCAGTGCATATCTCAAACGTACAAAAATACAGTTATAAAATTTTTATTAAATTTTTTTAAAAAATAATTGATATGTACACCTTGAGTTGAATACATTTATTAATATTTATGGATTGAATTATTAAAATCTATAATTTTAAAATTTCTTGTTTTTAATTTAAATTTAAAGATAATAATTTTTAATAAATATATTATAAAATATATTAAATTAAAAATATCTTTGTTAGTATCTTAAATTTTATTACGTTACATCGAGCTGTAGCCCGCTCAAAGGTATCACCGCCCACCAAAGTCAGACTTTCAAAACGTTTTCGATGGGTTACAACAGGCCATTTTTTTTTTTCAATATAGGCAAGTACTTTCTTTTTTTTTCTTTTTTCTTTTTTTTTTTTCTTTGTTAAAAGGAAAGGAGTAAATAGGATGCTCACCAAGCCAAGGACATCATTGCCCACCAAGGTCACGAAGCGTTTTCAACAGTTTCTTCTTTTTTATTCTTCTTCTTCTTTTGCCAGTTACTTTTTTTCTTTGTTAGCATCGCCACTTATAAAAGTAACCTCAAAGTCCAACAACTCATCACCTATCATGCCCTTTAAAAACAACCCAAATAAATTACACCAACGAAAAAGAAAAGCAATTATTTAACTAAAAAATTAAAATAAAAAATCGAAATGTTTAATTATTTAAAATGTTAAAATTTTTTATAAATATATTTAAATATCTTTAATAAATTTATTTTAATAAAATTTAAGCAATTACATTTGTGGCATCTTTATCGCTAGGCTAAAGCCATCACTGCCCACCAAAGTCAGTCTTCCGAAGCGTTTTCAATGGGTTATGATAATTTTTTTTTCTTTGATGTATGTTTAGGTTAAGGGGAATAAAGAGAAGGAAAATAGAGAAAAATTGCATTTTTTTATTTTTTTTATTTTGTTTCCTCTTTTATCCTTATTAAAATAAATAAATTAATTAAAAAATAAAATAATTTTTTTTTGAATTTTTTTAATAACTAAATAACATTTTTTTTCTTCATTTCCCACCACTCAAACATCTAAAGTAGGAAAGGAGTAAACAGAACGCTGGCTAAGTTAAAGACGTTACTGCCCACCAATGTCAGTCTTCCAAAATGTTTTCGGTGGATTACAACAATTGTTTTTATTTTTTTAAGTAGGCAATTACTTTTTGGATAACCGATTGGCTCACTCTTTTTTTGTATCAATAACTTGACAATAAAGAAAGAAGAGTGCTGCCAACTATAGAGGTTGGCTCACTCTTTTTTTGTCATTCTCCTTATGATTGGTCACTTGTCATAGTGCTTATGTCCAACGTATGTGATTGGTTGTTATTGATAGTAAAAATTAAAGTTAATATATTTGTTAAAATTTAAAAGTACTACTAATCACATAAATATTATAGGATACGATGGCTTAGTTATAGATAATTCAGAAAATGGGGCTACATTAAAGACATTAACAAGTTGAAGACCTTACATAAAAAAAAAATTGAGGGCCAAAGTGCAACTAGGAAGAAAGAAATGGAACAGGAATGCCAAGATGTTTTCTATGCAAAACGGGCTTAAAAATGCAGTGGCCCAATGTATTGAACCCATCTCAGCGGCCCATATCCACTAGGTTCAAACCCACAGCAGCCCTAAGACAAAACCGACCCCACCTTAGCCGTTTACCTGCTACCGGTTCACACTAGCCCAACTCCCTCTTCGTAAAAACACACCGTTTAAGCAATGTACTGCTTTAAAAATCAAAGACACCCTAAATCCCCGCTCCCGGCAACACACCTTTTCTCTCCTCTACAACACCGCTGATCAACTCCATTTTTCTACTTCGATCACGAAAAAACCACCACAACGACGGCCTGCAAACGGCTTAACCATCGCTAAAGATCCATCCTTTCATCCTTTCCATACTCGAGAATCTCCGGCAAGGCAGCGTCGTTCATAACGTCGACAGCTAAATAAAGCAACTTAAGTCCTCAGAAAGATAAAAACCAATCACAATCACCAGATATAAAATTATCAAAAAGAGCTCTTCTAAGATATTTTGTGGTTTACTTTGAATAATTTATGTTTCCTTTTTCATCGGTGTTTACTGAATTGAACTGATTTACAATTAATACGTTATTATTTCTTTGC